ACTGACAGTTAGCAATATTGCTTTGTTAACGTCGATTCATGCTCTGATATAAAGTGCAAATAAACTGCACGAATCTTAGATCTTAGAAATTAGACAATTTTGTTAGGCGTGATCGAAGTGAACCTATTATCTTGCATGTTTTAACGCTACAATGAGATTATTGCGTGCAAATCACCCTCAACAGTGTATGGGCTTTTGAAACTTTTTAGACTGAATTAGCCCTGTCAGATTCTTAAGATGAACTTAAGATAGATACAGTTTACAATTTAAAGTGAAAGACATCTGACATTCCTGTCGCTTGTCCAAGTTTAATAGTCCGAATTTTCATCGAGTACCCACCATAATGTATTTATTAGCGAAGAAAGAGTTGCTAATATATTTATTTTCAGTAAATTGCTTTCTTATCTCCTTTGTATGAGTATTTCTAATGTTGTTTTCCGAGCCTTTATGCCAACTGTCTTTCCTTAGTTTTTTGTCTCTTAACTCGATTAGCTTTTAAGTTATTTTGAGTAACCTTTACCTGCGTTGTGCATGTGTTTCGATCAACTGACAGCTTTGCAGTCTCGGTCACTGGGCACTTTTAGGAACGCTCCTTTTAAAAAGTGCACTTTTTAATACACTCTTCCTTGAGATGTCCAGCCCCGCAAGTCAGCTCTCTCGCCTCGGGGAAAGGGGGTTGGAGTCTTCTGTGACCCCACTCCTCCTGAGGCTACAGGATGTCATACCTAGGAGATCATTCCTGGGATAAACCCTTGCATTTTTAGTCTCAACACCCCCATGAGAAAAGCTATTTCTTTCATCCTTACTCGCTAACCCCTGGGGGACGTACCTGACAGAAAGCACCTGCGACGTCACCCGCTACACTGCTGAAACTGCAGTTAATTGCCGTGACAGCTCACCTAAGTGACGTTACCCTTACGTGACTTTCATGACAGTCTCTTTAAGCTTGTGTGACTTGACGGTGTTGTTTGCCTGTTCAGAAAAAAGAAGGAGGGGAAGGCGAAGAAGACCAGGACTCAGACGACATTGTGTTCAGCGCAGCACCGGAAGAGTTAGAAGAGGAAGAAGTCCTGGAGGCTTTAGAGCTGGCTGAAGTCGAGGAAGGTAAGCTCGTGCAATTCAGTTTTGAGTAGCGTGCAACGGGAATGATTAGTGCCTCTCCTTTTGACTGATCTTACCTCTACCCTAACAAAAGTAAAAACAAGCCTTGCAAAAACCTCAAAAGACACGCAAAGAACCCGGCGATTGCGCATGAACCTTACGCTTGTATTCTCAGCGTCCATATCCAAGCGTGGCAACACGTTTTTCAACCGAAAATTTTGTGTAAAGCTCACTGGAAGTTTTTAAGTCGGTGCAAAAACTTAGAATCATAGTTGTTTGGCTTTTGCTTCGTTAAGAAACTTAAGCGACCAGCTTTTATCTTCACGTCTTAGCTTGCGAGAGTACATTGTACCTTTTGCTTTGAGTCGCGCCGTTGTGATAGCTCCCATGATCCGCTTGACTTCTGGGTAAACTAATCGGCTTTGAATCCAGGTAAAATCCTGTCATGCCACCAACCTATGGAAACCTTTTAATTACGCCAATAAGTGCAGACTTTGGCTACCTTCCAAACCTAAGCTTAACTTAATCCCTGGGTTAGTGTAAATCAGATTGTGTACATCTGGCGTCAAAAAGTTTTGCGACCCATCACAAACGCTAGCGTGAGCTAGTGAATCCGGAAGACGTCTGTCTCTTCAGGGTGAAGGAAAATAAATATTTAAAAATATAACAAAAACATTTTTTTAAAACGAGGAAGAACATGGAGTGGGGATAGGAAGTGTAGGATTGCAAGGATGCCAGTGGATTAAAAGGTTCATCACTTGATTTCGGGATGACAGCGGTCACTGCTGTGACGGTCCATATTGTCACTTGAGCTTTCAAGTAGTAATATTAAGTTTAATTTTCGCCCCACTGACACCAGTAAAACATTTTTAATTTCAGTAAATGTGGTTTAGCAATTTGAAAACCATTGAGAGAAAATGGAAATACTTTTCTTTTGACTGTGCTTAATATGTAGTCAACCTAAACTCAGCAGGCAGTTTTCACGTGTAAAGAAGTTTTAAACTGCGTCAAAATTAACATCTTTTAAACGTGTCTTAGCGCTGGTCTGAATAGAGCATAAGTTTACAATTGCTTATTGTCTTTTAACCTTTGAAAGTAATGAAGCAAAGCCTGTATGCGTTTTCGTTAAAACGCGGGGTAGAACGTCCTTTTCAACGTGCCGGAACTTGATATTTTTACTACAGAATCAGCAATTCCCGAAGAGTCCATCGACCGTTTTATGGCAATGGAAGAGATTGTAGATGAAGAACACCACTTGACTCTCGGCCAACACCGAGACTCGGGCATCTTCAGCTCCTCACGATTCTCCGGAGGGTTCTTTGAGGGGACCCCTACTGGATCCAGAGCATCCGACTTGGACCGATCGCGCCTGTCCGATTTCAATGTGTCGCAGACTATAACGGCTTCGGAAACCATCGTAACAGAATCGGAGTTGCCGTCGAGTCTCGCAGATATGGCAGCGGATAACGTTCCTAAGTACGAGCCGCCCGTTTCCGGGGACTTCCTTGTTAGTTTCTTGGTCGACGCTCGGGGAGGGAAGATGGAGAGCTCGCAAACTGGACTTCGAATCACCTTGCCGCCAAGATCTTGCCAGATGCCAACGAGAATTACTTGTAAACAAATACGGTGAGTCATACATGGATTGTTATTGAACACATTCACTTAAAAATTTCCATCAAAGTATAGTTCGATAGTTTCATTTGAAGATTCACAGTTGATTTCATAGACGCAAAATTTTAAACCACTTTGTGTACTGCTTAATATCTGTCATTTGAAAGGTACACTTTAAGGTTTCATTTTCAAACGTTAGAACCACCCTCTAAAGTATAATAGACATCACCACAGGAACGAACTGTTCAATAGCTTTTATTTGAATGATCACACAATAATCCGCAGACGCAAAAGTTAGAGCCACCTTGTACAGCTTTATAAACAGTACCGTAGGAACGTACATGTACTGCTCAGTAGCTCTCTTTTGAATGTTCACTCTTTAGAATTTCGGCAACAGATTCAAAACTTAGAACTTTCTTGTACAGCGTAGTGAATAGTACCGGAGGAGAGTAGTGCTTAGTAGCTTTCATTTAAATTGTCACACTTAAAATTGTAGGCCACATACTGAAAAGTTAGAACCGCCTCGTACAGCATAATAAACAGCACCACAGGAATTAAAACCTCCTCTTCAGTAGCTTTCATTCAAGTCACACTTAAGAGCTTAGTCCACAGACTGAAAAGATAAAAACACCATTAACAGCTTAAAAAAAAAACAGTACCACAGAAAAGTGACTGAACCTTTAGACACTTTTTACAATCCTGACTGTCTGTTTATCGTTTTTGACCTTTAAGAAACGTTTGTCAAACAGGCTAACAAACAAAAAAAAAAAATACTGCATATACCCAAACCTGGCATTTGGTCTTAATAGTCTTAATCTTTCTCTTTCAAGGCCAAACAAACCATCTCTCTTACCGCCGCTTTATGAAGGCGAGGCTCTTGCCTGTCGCGTCCTCGACGTTAACCCGTCGGGCGTCAAATTTCTGCAGCCTGTTTACTTGGAGTTGCCGCATTTCTCTGCGCTGAGAGATGGCGAAAGAGAACTGGTTGTGCTTCGAACTCAGGACGGAGGGTGGAACTGGCAGGAAGTTTGTGTCGAAGACATGAAAGGTGAGCGAATAGGAGACTGGGCTGTGTTGTTTAGCGAACAAAATACAGAGAATCCCTGATATAGCGATTTTCGTATGACCTTGAAATGAAAACGCGCGAACAAAACGAAACAAGAAACGAACCGAAATACAGCGATTTGATTGGTTTATCGAACGGATACAAACGAGCGTGGCTTTTGGTTGGTTAAGCGCACGCTCGGATGAAAAAACTCCATGCTCGAGAATTTTCTAGAAATCAATCGATACTTCGCTTTGACTTCATACTGCAACACGATTGGCCAATCGAACAATGCCTTCTCCATATTAAGGATTATTTTGGCGGGAAAACGAAGAGTTCATGTTTGATCTTTTTATCTATTGGCTGATAAAACAAATAACGAACACTTACCGAAACTATTTTTCAAGGTCATACGAAAATCGCTCAATAGCTAACTGTAATGTAGTAGAGTGATTTACTGCAGTGTAAGTGCTGGTGTTGTATTGATGTTAGTGTTGGTGTTGGGGGTAAAGGGTTGGTGTTAGTAGTTTAAGTGCTGGTGTTGGGGATTAATGTTGGTGTTAGTGCTGGTGTAATTGTTAGTGTTGTTGTTAGTATTGGTGTAATTGTCAGTGTCGTTGTTAGTGTTGGTGTTAGTGTCGGTGTTGGAGATTAATGTTGGTGTTAGTGCTGGTGTAATTGTCAGTGTTGTTGTTAGTGTTGGTGTAATTGTCAGTGTCGTCGTTAGTGTTGGTGTTAGTGTCGGTGTTGGAGATTAATGTTGGTGTTAGTGCTGGTGTAATTGTCAGTGTTGTTGTTAGCATTGGTGTAATTGTTAGTGTCGTTGTAAGTGTTGGTGGTAGTCTTGTTATAACTGTTAGTGTTGATGTTAGTGTTGGTGCAATTGTTAGTGTGGTGTTAGTGTTGGTATAATTGGTAGAGTTAATGTTTGGGATTAATGTTGGTGTTGGGGGTTAACGTTGGTGTAAGTGTCAGTGTTAAAGGTTAGTGTTGGTGTTAGTTTTGGTGCATTGCCTTTCTCTTCACAATAAATTAAAATCTATTACCAAATTATACCTTATCGTTTTTTGTTTTCTCAATTTGTTTTAGCGGTGGATGGTTACAGTTCAGATATGAACATTCACCAAGGTTTTCCTAGCAAGAGATACGCTCGAATAGAAACGCATGACTTCCCTGAGAAGTTCTCCATTATCTCCCGACTGAAGAAAGAAAATTTCATGGTTGGACCGGGCGGGGATATCCTAAAGTCTTCAGTCCTTCCTCAGGTTCAAGTTAAAGTTCCTGAAGGAGCTGTGTCAAGTGGAACAAAAATTATTTTGCAGGTTAATACTTTGTACCCTCCTCTATTTCGCATCGCTGTTGGTGGTTTTGATATTGTCGAATTCATCTTGGCGTCATTTCTTACGTTTAGTATACGAGTTTACCCGTGGAATGGGGTATGGGCGAATTGAATTCTGAAGTTGAAAGTTTTAGTTGTTTGCAAGTAATCGTAAAGAAAATACATAAAGTAACCTGCCAGCTCGTGTCTCCTTTTGCGTGCTGCTCTCGCGTGACTTCTCGCGACTCCCCCCAAATGGAAAGCTGCATATTGGTCTCCTGCGTAGCCGCTCTCTGTGTTGCCACGCAGAGCTCCTTCTATTCGTCACGCTCCTTCTACTTTTTCGCAAAGACTTGTGGGATTATTACCGGGGACGCGCCGGTCAGCTATTGGCCAATCTTTTCCCCCCTCTCCCCAGTGACAGTCCCAGAGGTCTTCGCGAAAGCTCACTCAGCCCAGCTTCCGTCTCGTTTCTAAAGGGGCAAATGATGACACAAAGAAATGCTGTGTAAGACTAACTGCAAAATTGCTGGACGGCAAAAACGTTAATAAGCTAGAAAACCGGCAATTTCTACGCCGTTTTTTAATGCGCATATTTTTTGGTGACTCTTTTATCGGTAATCTTGCCTTAGAGGGTAAAGGTGCCTTGTATAAGTGAATGAATTGTAGAGTATCGGTCTTTTGTATTCCTAAGGGGAGTGAGACAAGGAAATTAGCAAACAAATAAGTCATCCGAACCGATCAAACTTGTTCATTGTCTTGTTCTTTTAGGTACAACCTGCTGATGAATCGTTCAACGACTATGAGGAATGGGTGGCTGTGAGCCCTGTGGTATCTTTAGAACCACAGGAATTAGTCTTTTCCAAGCCTGTATCCATTACCATTCCCACCCCTTTGTACAGTCCGAGTGGAGAAGAGGTTGACATCCAGCCCTCTTTGAGACTACTCAGCTGTCAGCCGCAGGACAATAGGAAGTCTATGTCCCATGCCCCTCTCTACCATTGGACTGACATCACTGATACAACACCGCTGAGCGTAGTAAATGCGTGCGCAACTTTCACGACCAGTTATCCCGCAAGGTGAGACACGTAAAATCTGCCTAAGTTCCTTTTCGCCTTTGAAGGTGCTGCGTCGCGTTTGTTTTTTAGAGGAGTTGACGCGTAATCGTGTCAAATTCTTAGGAAAAATCACCGTTATTCAATTTGAGGAAGCAACTGTCTATTGTCTTTTAGGTTCTGGCTTGTGGAGACACGTAACCCAGACAACGTGACGTCAGACGCGCGCCTTCTGTTCCGTAAGTTAACCGCTGTCCCATTCTTGGCTAAGGTCGTGGTGTTCGCTAAGGTTTCATCTGATGGAACCGAGGCTACACTAAGAGTCTTTTGCATTACTGATGATACTATTGACAAGACACTCGAAAAGCAAACAGGCTTCACTGAAGTAGCGCGAAGCCGAGATGTTGAAGTCTGCGAGGGAAGACCAGTTCACGTCAGGTATGTGTGAAAATAACTTACACTTAATTGATCGCTTACACGTTTTAAAATCAGTAGATTTCACTAGTTCAGAAAATTAAACTATCTGTTTTCTGAAACGTTTGATTGGCCGCTGTAGAACGGTTGACGGCCTTGTGGACACCTCGCTGGTAAATATAAATAAAGATGGACCCAAGGGAGGTTTTGTGAGCCCGCGAGACTGAGCAACCCCCACAAACCCTTGTTTCCACTAAAACCGCTGGACACAAATTCTCCCCTGGGTCGATGTTACATTGCAAAAACACACCTCTCTATTCCCCACTTCGGAAACTCTGGGGAGAATGGGTACAAGCTTTGGGTGCAGTGATCTCTGGGATTGTTTTAATGGACAAGCGTTAATTATGATTGGTCAATGGTATACAAGGCAACCGTTAACCAATGATAAGTAGCGCTTGCCCACCCAGACGATCTTAGAAATCGTTTCCGAAAGTTTGTACCCATTCCTCGTATAGTTTCTGGAGTGGGGAATTATTGTCACTCTGCTGGCATGAACAGCAGCCGAATCTTTGGCAAAAATTTCAGGTGTTCCATTTAAACAAACTGTCGCTATCACAGACTTTCAAACACTTTCTGTAGGTCCGACAGCACAGTTTTGTTGTATGCTAACTCTCATTCTAACGAACACTGAGCGCCATCTTTCATCATTTGGCTGTTTATTAATATTGTTTGGTCTTTGCTAACGTTGATCAACGCTTTGACTGGCTTTGACAGCGACTTTGTTAACCACGGGCTAAATTCTGTTTTAATTATTGGCCCTGGGTTTTAATCCTTTTTTGTTTGTATATACTAGGTGTTTAGGCAATGTCACGCCAGTCAACCGTGAGCCACTGCAGTTCACATTTAATCCTTTCCGCGAAAACCGACTGTCCGTGACGGTGTGTGTAACTGATCCGTCCCAGCCCCCCACCTGCCGGCTGGCTTTACTCAAGGAACCTCGTAAAGATCGACAGGGGAACGTGCGAACAATTTGTAACTTGAGCATCGACCTGTCTGAGGAGGTGAGCTGAGAAGTTTGTTTAGCCATTTTTGATTTTTTAGCTCGTGTCACGCGAGAGCAGCACGCGAAAGGTCGCGTGCTGCTCTCGCGTGACTTCTCGCGGTCTTCTCAAATGGAGAGCTTGCTCGAAGGCTAGGAACCATGAAAATGTGATTTTATTAAACTCTTTGGTTCATGGACGAGTTCCTATATGATACGACAGAGTGACGAGTGAAATACAACCTTTTGCAGTCCTTTCGAATAATACTTTAAATTGCTTCTGACTTGAAGTATTTCCTTACATGAAATTTCGGTTAAGGTTAAACTGTATTTTTCGTTGCTAGTAGCAGTAAAAAGGTTGAATTTTGCCAGTATCAATGTTTCCCTAGTGGGAAAATCGACCAAAGCTGACAAGGCTTAAAATGCAATGTTTCGCGTTTTGCGCTTTCAAATCAACGAATTGCTGGGTTATGACGATGTATTTCTTTCTTTTTACTTACACAGAACTTGAGGAAAGGCAATGGGACAGCTCAACTTCCAGGTATGTTCAGCTTGTGGTAAAGTTTCTCGGGACAAATCGCAACGACGATTTTTAGCGCAATACAAGGTGCCAATATAGAAAAGAAAAGTGATGACGTCACAAAAAGTAAATTTGTGAAATTATGGTATAGGTTGGCATATCCAGAAAGAACAAGATGAAAAATGTCTACTTGCTAAAAATCAGCCTGTCGGTGCATATTTCACAAACTTGAATTTTTGCAACGTCACGTTATTGGAACACATTTTGCAGCCTTTCGAAACAATGTTCTAACGCTGTGTTGCACTTTGTCGTTGCCAATTGTCCCGCGTAAAATCACCTGTTTACTGCGAATTTTTGAAATAGACCATAAATGCACGGACAATAGAGAGGTATGACGTTAAGCATGACGTCATGTCACCATGGTAGCACTATTTCTGGATGACAACAAAACCATCGACGACGGCGACGGAAGGAGAACGGCAACAAAGTAAAAGGTTTTTATTGACAAAACAACAAATTTGCACGTGCATCACGCTATTTTGTACATTTTTTTCCCGTCGTTGCACCCTTACGACGTGAAACTTCCTAATCTCACACGCTTGCTTTATGGAGTAGGTGAACACAACACAAAAGTGGTCTTTTTCCTCTTCTAAACTTAGATACGGTCCTTTCGGATTCAACCCGAGGAAATTTCGCCAACATTTGCCAAATTAAATGAAATTGAATAAGATCGATGAAGTTTGAAGCGGTGAGGATTCACTTTTTAAGTCACGTTTTCGGTTTGTTGTCATCCAAAAATTTTGCTACCATGGCAACGTGACGTAACGACTTCTCCCCTCTATAGACCCTTCCATGGTTTTTTCGCTGACTTTTGACAGGGACCAGTAAGCCAAAATCCGTCAACACGGCTGAAAAGAGCGCCTGAAAATCATTACAGTTGCCAAGTTTGACAGTGATTTGCTGAAAACTAACGAAGATATAGCGCAGCAAAGTCGCGAAATTTTACCGTCTGCCAATGTACAATGGGGGACGAACTTGACATCGTTTTTCTTCCAAAATAAGGACAAATCTTCCCCTTTTTTTATTACTATTTAAGACGGTTGTCTCAACTGCGCGTTTAATGGTCGTTCTCGAAATTTTGAGCATAATAAATTGCAGGCTTTTGGGTTTGAAAATAGAAGGTTTCAAATTCAGTTCGCCATTGGTCAGAGTCAAGTGGTTGCCATGAAATGACTCCAAAGTGATGGGAAGTTATCTAACGGAATGATGACGGTTAAAGGTTCTGTATCTGATCTCGTCACAAGGGGAGCAGCTTTACATTGACTTGGGCCGTTAGCGTTTAGTCTTCCACTTAGGGGGCACGCAAACTGTAACTCAAAAGGTTCGTTTTATAAACTCAGCTATTTATTCAATTTGCCTCCGGTAAATACCAGCTATTGTTATGACCATGGGAGGGCTCACTGTCTTTTTTTTTTTGACTGGATGCGAGTGAAAAGCGCGGGAGCGCTTGGAAGCGGGTTTGCCCACCATGCACCCGCATCCCCCTGCGCCGGTTTCACTCGCCTTCTGCTACTTTTAGTTTACGTTAAGGAAATGGGGAGCTGTGAACAATGCGACCGATTGATGTCCCTTTTAACGAAATCCAATTTCTGTAGTAGTGAATTGCATTCACAGTTGTGTTACTTGTTTCTTTGTAGACGAATTGTTAACATTGATTGGAAAGAGTGTTGGTGGCGAATGGGTTGGCCTCGGTCAGGAGCTTGGGTTCACCGACTCAGAACTCCAAGAAATTTCCGACAGACAGTGAGTATTCTAAAACTGCAATGTTTTCCTGCAATTAACTCTCGTGATTCCCAAACATAGAGTTTGCTCGCCGCCTAGTTTGTGATTATCTTTTATGGTGCCGTTTATGATGTTAAACTGGACTGTAGAGTGTAGATATAAAACCCCAGGGGTATTTGATCAGGCGCCGAGTGTTATCAGGCCTGAAAAAACACGATCTGTATGTTTATTGAACAGATCCGCCCATTTTTCAAGAAATCTGGCAAAATCAGAGTCACAGCTCAGCCTTACTCGAATTCATTAATTTTTAAAGTAAAATGAACGCTATTGAACGGTAAGATTGTTCTGTAAATCCTCAGAGCTTGATAGTTAGAAACAAGTTCTGATCCAAAAATTGCACAAGTTGCGATCCAAAGAGTGTGGCCATTCATATGAAAGCTACTGAAATTCCTGTGGTACTTTACAGTGTGTATTATGCTCTGTAAGGTGATTCTAGCTTGTATTTCTCTAAATTAAATTCTTATAAGTGTGACCATTCAAATGAAAGCTACTGAGCAGTACTTTCCTGTAGTACTGTGTATTATGCTGTTTATCGTGATTCTGGCTTGTATGGCTGTAGATTAAATCCTTATAAGTGAGACCATTCTTATGAAAGCTACTGAGCAGACTGGGTAGTACTTTGCTGTGGTACTGTGTATGATGCTGTTTCAGGTGATTCTAGCATGTGTGTCTGTAGATTAAGTCCTTATAAGTGTGACCATTCAAATGAAAGCTACTGAGTAGTACTTTCCTGTGGTTGGTACTGTGTATGATGCTGTTTCAGGTGATTCTAGCATGTGTGTCTGTAGATTAAATCCTTATAAGTGTGACCATTTAAATGAAAGCTACTGAGTAGCACTTTCCTGTGGTACTGTGTGTTATGCTGTATAAGGTGATTCTAGCTTGTGTGTCTGTGGATGAAATCCTACGGTGGGACCAGTATTTAATGACAGCCAATGAACAGTACTCTCCAGTGGCTGCCTCCTCCACAGGCTTTCCCAAGGCTCAGAGGTGAGCAGCGAGAGACAACACGCGAGAGCTGGAGACAAGCGAGCAAGGCGAGAGGAGGATGATGGGAACGAGCGGGGAGTGATGGAAAGAGAAAGTTCTTCCCTTCCCATCACTCCCTTCGTTCCCGCTTTCCTTAATAATTAACTCAATATCCCCCAAAAAGTGATCGCGAGCGACTCCGGACGAGGCAGCTCCTGTGGTACAGGCAATAGGGAGCTTAAGCAACAGCGTTTCTGAGTGACGGACGTCAACTGGAAGTGGACTTTTTGCATCATTGGCGAGTGGTTTGGTTGAAACTCTCGGGTAAATCGTCTTTACAGGAGAAAAGAAACTTAGCAATACAAGTTTGTTAGCGTCAAGGCATATAAAAAGGGGGAAAGGCTCACTTCCGGTTGACGTGCGTCGCTCAAAAACGTCTCTATTCTCTCTATTCTGTTTTTCTTCTCTCTAGTTCTGCTGAAGCAAACGAATGTGCTGCTGATGTGTTAAAAACCTGGAGAGACAAGGAGGATACCGAAGCCAATATGGCGTCCCTTGAGAAAGCCCTTCGTGACATGGGACGAGAAGACATCGTCAAAAACTTCAAACAGCTTGCGTACAGTAGCTACTCTAAGGATCCTGTGATTATCGTAGAAACGTTTCATGTAAGCAGCACTCCTGAAAAAGATTCTACCGACGGCTCAAGTGGTGGCCGACGTCGAATTTCAGAGTATCTGGATGCCGCTGGCGAAACGGATTGCATGTTCGAAGATGGCGGCTCTCCGCGCATTTCCGGCGTGGAGGCTCAGAACGGAGACGAGGTGTTTGGTGAAGCGAAAAGAAGTTCACCAGAACCGAGCACAGAAGAATGCGACATTGTTGAAGAGAAAAAACACAAAGTCGTGGATGAAGACGCGAATGCGCAAGACGGTAACGAAATTAGCAAAGAGGATACTGAAAAGCTACTCCAAGATTTCTTTGGTAATGACAAGGGTGTGCTAAATTTCCTTTCTGATGACGCACCGGCAAAAGTGGAAAACGGAAATACAGAAGAAACCGAGATTTGAATGTTCGTTGTTTACTGAGGTCCCCTTTTGCAGCTGTTCTCTTATTTTCACGACCCTAACAGGGGTGTTGTGTGACCGTTGCCAAAGGAGACTTAGATCGGCCGTGATTAGGACTTAAAGGTGCATTTCAGTAGATGAACGTTCCCGTTCAGTAGATCGGCAGAAGTCAAGAAGTTATAAATGAGACTGTTATTAAGAAGAGCTGTTCTCTTCAGAGTTAGTAGTAGCACATTTCCGCTTCCGAGTGAGTTTTATTCGGTCCGTCCATTATTGTGGAGGGCTAAGTATCTAGGGTGGATTTATACGTGAATAGGTCCATAAATCATTAGAGGAAGATTTAAAATGTAACGTCGTTAAACCAGGGCGTCTTGCGTGCCAGCAGGCTCAAATATTTTCACTCTTCATGCCAAGCATGTCTTTAACAGTAGTCCTGAATGCAGAAGGAATTTTTTATTTTGCGCATAATTATGTCAGTACGTTAGTTATTTAGGGTTTTAAAGTAATGAAGAGGCTGGACACGAAGGACGATCATATTACCAACTGAATAATTGTTTTTACCTCCGTTTTATCCAGTGCAGAATTCACCAAGCTTAATCACACGCGTATTTCATTTTTTGTTTAGCTGTTTTTGTACTGTCCGTCGCCAAAAATGTTTCGCTAGTGAAATTAAGTTATTTGAAAACTTGTTCCTTAGTGTTATTCCAGTGTCACGTGTGAAGCCAGCAATTATTTGAGGAGGGTATAATTATAACCGAGAAACAGTCCGCAAGTAATGGTCGGTTTCGGGAAAACTTCGTTAGAACTCCGACGAGTTTCGAATCCACTTCTTATTAGTCTGTCGGTCAAAATAATGGATTAGTGCTGGCGATCGCGCTGACATACGCTGTTGATTCAAATTTTAACCAGTCTGGTTTTGCGGTATGATCTACGTTTACAAGAAATAAGCTGACAACTTTTTACAAAAAGGCAGCTGAGTTTATAAACTAACAAACGAAACATGGTGAACAAACAACTAGAGTGCTAAATTCCACAAACATGACGGAAGTAAAAAGCGAGAATGATTTATCATTTTCATCTTTGTGTCTACTGGGGGATGTGAAACAAAATAACTTATGTAAGCCGTTCATCACAGAAACAGTTTATACCGCAGTCTGATTGACCTCACGCGTACATCATTTGTTTCAACGAATCAACAGTTGCTGGAAACTTTGTATATCGATAACATTATTTCTGGGTCTGGACGTTAGACTTTGTTAATGTAAGTTGGTATGAGTTAGTATAATTCCAGTATCCGAAATAAACAACTTCCTTCAATCACACCTGTTGTTTGTTTACTGATTCATAGAGCGACCCTTTTACCAAGGAAAGTAATGCGGGCATCCGCTCTAGTCTTTTTGAAGTCCTTCTATTTGATCTTTAGAGATCGTCGAGCGCTAACGTCTAGAGGACAGACTACATCTACATACAGCTATTTCGAGAAAGGTTGTCGGAAAAAGTGCACGCGTCAATCCTGAAAGGATTGTGGGCGGTATTGAGTTCACTGATCTTGAAAGGGATTTGAAGGAATGGCACGAGAGACCGTAGAAAAGTAGGGTCGACAGCCACAGTGTCAGGAACAGTGTATTGATCATATCCCATATTACCTTTCGGGATTGTCGCGTGAATATTCATTCCGTCAACCTTTTCGAAATAGCTGTATAAAACGGACGTAAACCTACATGTACTCTTACACGTATTAACTTGTGCGTTTCGCGCTGTCCACACAGGAACGGAATTTTAAAATAATGGTTCATTTTTAACTCGTGATTGCGCAAGGCGCTATGAGCGAGTTCTAGCGAAGACGCTCCCGTCACTCCATGGATCCCTCGATCCTTTTCGAGATGGATTGGGAACTAGTTGTCTCCTGCAAATCACGTGCACTCCATCGTTCGTCAAAAATACGAAGTTCGTCAAAAATACTCCGCTACGCGTCGTATTTTCAACTCTCTTCTCGGTGTTTCATCTGGTGATGAAACACTGCGTCTTATGTTTGATATATTACATACCAAATGCACACACTGCTCATCTGCAGACCCAAAGGAGAAGATGGCGATGCTTTCGAGTGAACCTTGGCGAGAACCCCTTTCGAAGTAGTGAGGTACCAACTGAATTTGGACAGAGTGGTTCTGATAAACTCAAGAGTCTTATCAAAGCGTACTAGGAATTAATTGCCTTAGTTGTTTCTTAGAACAAACAAAAAACGAATTGAGTACTTCTGAATTGATTTTTGTGTCACTATAAGTTTATATTATATTATAAATTTTGTGTTGGTGCTTGGTCTGTATTCTTCCAAATTTTTCATTTAAACTCAACTATCATCAGCTGCAAATTCTAAGCTGCATGAAACTCAACGTCGACCGTGGCACACTTATAGGGACCTTAAGATCCCACGACGGTGACGGCAACCGTGTAAGGAAATTTGGTTATTTATGCATCCAAGAAATTTTGGTTCCGACAAAATAGTCCACACGTACCGTACGTCCGCCCCTTCATGTTTGTGGGTGTGAAACGTCTTACTTACTAGCTTAAAAGTCCAAGGCATCCATGTTATGATCAACTGACACCTATCAAAATTAGGTTATCCGCTGACAAGTGTCACATGACTGGAGCGCCGGCTCAGATTTACAACTCACTGAGGTGACGTGTTTTATTAACTTCCCCGCTGAACAATTATGGTATTCAACTAATCCCAGGCTCAGAAAACTTTACTTCAGTAAGACATTAAAAGCTTCACGAGAACTTTGCTTTTGGCCTTGGCTAAATCTATATATTAAATTGATTCTCTGAACTGTTTATGTCAATGTAAACAGTGTGAATTCGGAGGAACTGGTGGATTTGTAATTGATGATGAGACAGCTACCAACAACGAAAATAAAGCGAACGATGAGAACCATAGTGAAAACAAGAACGCTCTTACAGCGGGGTCAGTCTCGCTTGCTTGGAAATTAGATCGAGAAATGAGGAGGCGATTAATTCTACACGAAACAGGATTTACTCGCTAAAGCTTTGGATATGACGTTCTAAATATTTGTCCGGCCAAAAACAGGTTTTGTTTGAGGAAAACTAGGTTTGAACGGCCCCAGCCGCAAAACTATTTCATAAGCCATGATCAAAAGTAGTGAAATCCATACAGTAAAAACCCAGAGAGTAAAATTCAAATATCAAAAAAATTTTAGATCGTTGAGTATATTCTAGCAACGTTTCATAATGCAAGGTGACCTCGCGGAACGGCGGAAAACTCAAGTTGATAGCACCTCTGGAATCGTTCTTGTTGTTGCTAATTTCTATCTATCGAGTTAGCTACGCTCAGACATCGGATTGCGAATATTTACTTGGGATGAGCAGGAAAGGTTAAAAAAATAAAGAAGGTATCATTTTCCTAATATATAACCACTGCACTTTTTTATTATGCTATTTTTGATTTGCAAAATACAACGATCATAATTTATTGGAAACTTTAAAAAATTATTTGTTACTTTTATTTGGTGCATGAACAGAAATTGTTATTTTCCGTTGTTTTCTTTTTTCCTCACCTGATCTGCAAAAACATTTTGATATAATTTTAGGAAATTCTCAATTAAAAATATCAAGCTTTCGACTGAGAAAGACGTTTCGTTTTAACAAAACAAAGTATGCAAATTTACACTGACGGTTAATCAAAACGAAAATGGCTTTGACTCATCATAACTTTATTGGTGCATGAGAGTGTGGATGGGGTTAACTGACAACTGACCAATGGCCAAAATTTTAACTGACAACTGACAAAACGCCTTAAATTTAACGGACAACTGACATTTACCTTGAGTTTTACTGTTAACTGACAGAGGACCTGATTGTCCTTTATTTTCTAAAAAACCCGTTTTTAAGGCCTTTCCACTCTTTTTGTCAGACAATGTAATCAAATGTACGCTTATATGGATACTCTTAGCAGCAGGACGCTTAAGTAGCAAATTTCCTTAATGATCTACAGCAAAGCCTACACGTGTCATGGATCATCCGTTAGAAATGGCCTATGATCTTAAATTTACACTCCTCTGAGAACGCGCCAGCATACGCGTTGGCTGCCGATGAAGGCGTATAAAAGCAATTTTAAATTTTTACCGAGATGATTCAGATTTGGTCTTTCTTGGTTTTTTACATGATCTACGTCCCAATATTTTGAAGAAATAAATTTTGATTGGCTTAATGGTTGGAAATGTTGGACTCTGGTCAGCAAAAACGTTTGTGTGGGCGAGAGTAACACAAGACTTGAGAAATGGAGGGCCAATTGGAATGCTTTCAATAGCAAAACCGGTAAAAATTAAGGTACTATTGCATCAGTTTTCGCTTTAAATGTTTAATTTACGTTAT